CGCAGAGAGGGCACACTTTGCAAACACAAACAGAACAGCGGTAGGGGGAAAATGTTTCACAAGGCTGCAGTCAGTGCAGTCAAGAGGAGAAGCACGCCTCTGAAGTCGTGAATGTTTTATTTATGGCGATTGCAAATTGTACTCGGGGTTATATCATAGTTATTGTGACAGTAAGTTGATTGGGTGCAGAGGTTTGGAATTCACCAGAAGTTTACATTTTATATATAGTTCATTTCTCAGGAAAAACGGGCCCATCGCTCTCTCGTTCTCTCAGGCAGGTGATATATCTTGATCCCGCTGAATGTTTTACGAAGGAATGGGAAGTTATACAGAGACTGTCCACCAAATGCTTTATGGTATTTATTAGCCTGTGGTGCAGCTGGGAATTAGAATCCAGCCTCTCTGAAGCAAATTTATATGTAGAGATTACGGTTTTCCCTGACATGGATTTTATATCATAGCAGCTCCTTATTTCAGCATGACAAATCATCTGTGAAGAGATATGGCGCAGTTATTTAAAGGACAGTAAAAGCTAATAGTGGATGCCAACACTTGGTTTGAATATTTATTTCTTTATCTTGCTTTCACAGCCCAGCATATCCAGTGTCTTTGATATGGCGCTATATGGTGGAAGACAATGCAAGTTTGTTTAGCCCAGATTCATGGCACAGAAAATGGATCCTAATGACTTTGGAAGCCTCCCTGTTGTTTTTCTTAGCACCACCTGTTATTTTTGTTTTTGGTGTGATTGTTTAATAGTTATTGATGCCACATTTGCTTCACACATTCATGTCCCTGTCAACATGGATTCCACTCACTTAGGTGAACCCACTGCCTTCTCCTCTAGTGCCATCGAGAGACAAGAGTATAATCAAGTGTCTTCGAGCTAGTGGGATTCCCATCAACCCTCAATTGGTTGGACAGGTTTTGCCTTCAGGACTGATTTAATTATTCATAGCAAAGATTCAACAAGGTGCTGGAAACACTGCTCAGAGATTTTGGTCCATATTGATTTGATAGCATCACACAGTTGCTGCAGATTTGTCAGATGCAGAACTGCCGTTGCACCAAATCAGAAAGGTGCCAAACTGAATTGAGATCTGGTGACTGGGGAGGCCTTTTGAGTACAGTGAACTCGTTGACATATCTTCAGGAAACCAGCTTGGGATGATTTGAGTTTTGCAACATAGTGTGTTATAGTGCAGGAAACAGTCATCAGAAGAGGGTACACTGTGGTCATAAGGGATGGACAGGGTCAGCAGCAATACTCAGGTAGGCTAAGTCTTCCATTGGCCTATTTTTCTGATGTTGTGCGAGTTGTAGCCTCAGTTTCCTGTTATTATCTGACAGGAGTGGACTACAGTGTGCTCTTCTGTTCCTGTAGCCCAAGTCCTTTAAGGTTTGTGTTGTGCGTTCAGAGATGCTCTTCTGCGTACATTCGTTGTGGATGTTTGAGTTACTGTTAGCTTCCTAGCAGTGATGGGAATAACGGCGTTACTTTTTTCAGTAATGTGTAATCTAACTAATTACTATTCCTATCGTTATAACGCCGTTACAGTTACTAACAAGAAAATGTGGTCCGTTACTATTTTTCAACAAACAGACGGTTGAAGCTGTGTTCGGCTTACCGCATCTTATATCAGTTGCACGGAAGTAGCTGTAAGTAATCTGGACGCTACAGCTTTAAGCAGCTGCGTGCTCCCGCGGACGGCAATCACGATCACTGTCTAGCACAACACCTGGAGCTAAGGGTGCAAAACAATCGCATGAGTGCTGCTGTTTGACTGAGGAAGAATAAAGTAGTCGTGGTAAGCCAATCACATGACCACTTAAAGACAAAGCAACAAGGAGATATATATGCCAGCTTTTAAATTGTGTTGATAGGCCACGTAAAACCAGAGTCATGATAAACAATATATTTTTTATGTTGTTATGAGCTAGTTATGTTGTTGTTATGTTTATGTTTTATGTTTTATGTTTTATGTTTTTTCCTCAATAGTTTCCTCATGTTGACTGTCTAAGGACAGCGCTAGCAAGCACTCTGCGTATGAGCAAAAAACAAACAAACAAAAAACAGAGGACGTTTTAGGAATAGTTACTTTTCAAGTAATTAATTACTTTTAGAATATTGTAACTCAGTTACTTTTTTGAAGAAGTAACTAGTAACTATAATTAATTACTTTTTCAAAGTAACTTGCCCAACACTGCTTCCTAGTAGCTCAAAGTGGCTATTATCCTCTGATCACTCACTTTAACAAGGTATTTTCAACCAGAAAACTGCAGCTCACTGGGTTTTTCTTTTTCTGACCGTGATCTGCAAACCCTAGAAATGGTTGTGTGTGAAAATCCTGAGAAGATCAGCAGTCTGACATACTCATTGTTATTGGTGCATGTCTGGTGCACAAAACACGTTGCATTCAAGGTTATTCAAATCATTATTCTTCAATATTCTGATACTCGGTGTGAACTTCAAGTCGTATTGTTGGGCTGATTAGATATTTGCATTAGCAAGCAGTCGAACAGGTGTACCTAATAAAGTGCCAGTGAAAGGGTTAGTGCTAATTAGCACATTTTTGCATTGTTACCATCATTGAGCTTGTTGCCGTGTAAATATTAGCTTTTTGCTTAAAATACTACCATCAGTGTTTCTAGAGTTTCAATATGAGGTTCTTTTTCTTTGTGTTTTAACAAATAATTTGTAGGTAATGACACAACAAAAATAGTCATTTGAAAAAAATCCAGAAGCTGGTTTCATCAAAATAATATTAGTAAGGGCATGAAATATGTCTGGATTGAATCGGAGTTTACCGCAAGTGATTGATTTGTTGATGAACAGTGAAATTGTTTTGTCTGACACACACACTTGTACATTCATGACTTGAAAAAAACATCACAGTGAGTTATATTCATTCTTAGGAGCCTCCTTTAACCTTCACTACTTCTAAAACACAAAAAATATCACAGTGAAAAATACTGTTAGGTCCATAATTTGTTGGACTGAGTTTATGTAGTTTTTATCACGAACGTCACCAGAGGGGATGTTAAATCAGACAGCCAACGTGTGTTTGAAATGCAGAGTTTTTACCTTTAATTCAAGAAGATTTAAAAAATAAATTGCACTGTTTATGAATTACATTTTACAGACAGTGCCTCATTTTTCAATGTTCAAAAGCAATTTGACAAACTAGCATAATTTTAGATATAAGGATTTTTTATTGATACTTGGATTCAAATCCTTTGCAGTCAAGTACATCGAGTACATCAAGTGTAGAATCAACAGACAGTGTTTTCGCCCTCGAAATGCTCTACCAGACCTTCAGTTGGTGCTTGTTTTTTATATTTCTGAATTCAGTTTTGTACTTAGTAACTGAACAGCGTGCTCTGTTGGGCTGAGATCAGAAGAATATCCCATTTCTTTGCTTCCTTGTCTTGGGTTGCTTTTGCTGTGCTTTGGGTCATTGTCCATTTGTACTGTGAAGCCGTATTTGATCAGTTTTGTATTTGGCTCAATCTGATCAGAGAATACAGCCACGGACACTTCACAATTCATCCGACTGCTTCTAACAGCAGTCACATCGACAATAAACACCAGTGACACAGTTCCACCATGCATGCTCATGCCATAACATTATCTCTACCATGTTTGACAGATGATGTGATAATCTTCAGATCATTAGCTGTTTCTCTCCTTCTCTACACTTCTGAATTCTGATATGAATTTTCAGACTTTTTAGAGGGTTTTTTTTTGGCAAAGTCTAATCCAGCGTTCTTGAGTGTAACCGGTGGTTTGCATCTCTATATTTATATTTATGAAGGCATTAATTGATTGTAGACTGACACACTTTGTCTCTCAAGTGTTAATGACTTGGGTTGATGTTGAGAAGTTGTTTTTCTTAACTATGGAAACAATTCTACCGTCATCCACTTTAGTTGTCTTCTGTGAATTTCAGGCCTTTTGGTGTTGCTGAACTGGTCAGTCTTTTTTTTTTTTCCTCTCTAATCCTCTGGAGTCAACAAACCCGCTGGTGTGTCCAAATCACGTGACCAGTTTAAGATGGCGTAGCAATAGGACGCAGCCTCGCTGAGTCTCTGTCTCAACTTGTGTGGAAAGTGCAGACTTTTAAATCTTAACAGTGCAGTTATGTGAATTTTATTGACAGTTTGATGCAGTCCTCCCTCACAAAAACAGTCTGAAGCCAGCAAAATAACCATGCCTATGTTTCCCATGTTGTGGACACATCTTACTGTAAACAACACTAGAGAAGCATTTTAGATATTTAATAATGTGACAGTGTTGCTCTTAAACTACGTAAAAATAACAGTTACAAAAGCAAAAATGTTCCGAATCACATTTAGTGTTATGTTTTAGATCATCTCAGTAGATATTTGGGTTCAGGTGTTTGCCTTAGTTTGATATTGCTGCTCTCCCAAAGTGTGGGGTAGGATTATGGTTAGGGTTGGCACAGACAAACACAAACATCCATCAGCTGTTTTTCTGGTGCACTGAGCAGATTAGATGACTTGAGCTAGCTTTTTCTTCTTTACAGCTTGCCATTTTTTCTGCTTGCCCGACTCAAACTTAGGTGTAGCTCGTCAGAAGCTCACGGCTCCTGTATTGACTTCAGCATCTGTGATGATAATAGTCTCACTGAGCACAGAGGAAAGATACCACTCATTCTGCCAGCGGGAAGCACAACACTGCTTCACAAGCCAAACATCAGTTTGTAATCTGCTGCGTTGGCTTGGAAGCTTGATTCGGAGGAGGAGAGATGTGGGAGCAGAGGGAGAGGCTTAAAAAGACTCCGGATTTGCAGAGTCAAATAAGCTGGAGGAGAAATGGATACCTTGGGATCAGCATTAGCATGTCTGAGCGTTTAAGCACGAGGGTTAGGACAGAAGAGAATAACCATGGAGTCGCAGCATTAAACCGCTGAGTCATGCTGTGACGTTTGTCCAAATGTTGTGCAAAACCACACCACAGTCAGCCTGTATCCTTCAGCAGCCTGCCCAGTCCTTGAGGTGCAGAAGAAGAGTTTCACTGTTTGCATCAGCAGCCGGCAGCAACAGAAGTAAGTGGCTTGTCTGGTAAAGGAAGGGGGAAGAGCTCAGTGGGTCAGTAGAGGTGTGTATAAGCTTCTGCAAGTCAAAGTAAAACGTAGCAGGTTTTCAGTTTATACTTACCTTGCGGTCATCATTTCTGTTAGGAAGATTGAAAAAGGGATAGAGCTGTTGTAGAAATAAACCACTTAGATTTAGTCTGTTAATCAGACAACTTGGACAAAAATAATCTCCAAAAATTCATCATCCAGTAGCTGCAGGTATAAACTACACTCATTTCGTATAATTTATGTGACAAACTACTTAATGGCAGTAGGAGTTTCTGTGTTTGTTTAGTCTGAGCACAGCGTTCGCTCTTTGTGCCATAAACGTATTTGTTTACTCATCCATTTTTAGCGCTAAAACAATCCCTTTGTTTACACTAATGGCTCAAATTCATCACTGGCAAAGAGAGAAAAGGTGATCTATGAAACAGAGTGTGTATGTTATGGATTCAATTTGTGACCAGTCCTCAGGGAATCTCCTTCCAAGTCATCTCCACAGGGAGGATGCTGCTGTATCTGACAGCATCTGAATATTGACTGTGAGCTATACAGTTTCACAAGCCCTTCCTGGGTTATATTTTTAACTTTCTGCTCCTCAGACCTTTTCCGAGTGTGACGTACAACACTCGGGCAGCACTACCATTGATCTGCTCGCCTCCTACACGAGAAATCTTGCTGTGCACAACATGAGGTGTTTGGTAAATGCTTCAGAAAGCTGTGATGGAGCTTCTCAAGAAGTGACATCATTGGTGCAGCGATAAATCATCCCTAGATTAGGTTCAGTAATCGTTGCCAATTTGATGGCTTTTAGCCTCCTTTCCTTTTTTCTCACTCTGGTACCTTTGAATTTCTTGGCTGCCGTTTCCAACTGCGACTCACGCAGCGTATTTACTACAGAGCATGCCGTTCTGTGACAGCAACAACATCTCGTGGAATATTATTTTCACCATAAAATCTGGTCGTTTATGTGAATCTGCAGCACTGACACGGAACTTTGTCAGCACTGCGTTTCGGCTCCATTTCCTCTGAATGTTTATTTAGTAAGGAGTGTACACGAGTCGAGCAGCTGGGAGTGGGGACTGTATTGATTGAAAATGAGGATGGTGTGTGCTGGAGGACAGATGGTTCAGGCCTTCATTCTGTGGTCATGGCAGTGTGAGTGATCATATCCTGTGCACGCTTCACAATCTGTTTGAGTTTGCAGTTGGGTTTGTTGTTAACTCTTGTTGGGCTTGGGCTTGTTTGTATTTTTTCTAAAGAGCATCCGGTAAATCTGTTATCCAGTTTGTCACTTTCATGTAGCATCTCTACTTCCATTTGTCTGATAAAGAAAAGGAGCAAACGGATCAATTGTAGCTAATGGACTGTGATGCTCATTAAACTGATCCTTGCAAATGCAATCATAACTGCACTTAGAGTGTGTGTGGCACTTGTCTGATGAAAGCGAGTCACAGCAGTGAATGAACTTCCAGTTTCACAGATTATTGCTAACTAACAGTGTCATTCTGATTCTTTACAGGCAGAGGCTGGGTATTCAAAAGATGGGTGCAATAACAACAAAGACTAAAGCTGTTTAGAGTGACTCATGTATTCTTTGAGAGATGAATTGCCACATTATTTATCACATAAAATGAAAAGGTTGGCTCATAAACTGTGAAGTAAAACTCCTCATTTAGCTGGATTGGGTGCTACCGCCTAACTTGAAGTATGAAGGTGGTTCTTGTTAGCTAATAGGTATATAACATTGCTGTGTAAGTGTAGTTTATATACCACCTGTGACTCTTTTAAAGCCTTTCATCTTCAAAAAATGAGGAAACTTATTTGTTAAGCAGATTAAGTTTACATGTAATAAAATGTGCTTTTACAATGGAGTTTTTAGCTAAATGCTAAATATTAACATGTTAAGATAATGCTAAATTAGCATTGGTTTAAATAAAACTGATAAGCAGTAAAGTAATTGTGACTCAGTTACAAATCAGCAATTGTGCCCAAGGCATTTGTGGTACCCAAAAGCATCATTACTCAGAGCTTGAAAAACCAAGCCAAAGAGACATCCGTTGACTATGGCTGACACATTGTAAGTGATGCTCATCTGTATTTCCCATTAGATATGGTCCAGTGCTGATGGCTCAGTCTGAGCTGTTCGTGACGAGAGCTTCCCCTGTGGAAGCGAGGCCCGTGGAGCTAGATGTTCTGGGGTTCCTGCAACGTTTTGGGGATGAAAACAGCACAGCTGAGAGATGCTACCGCTCGCACTCCCACAGCAGCGTCCTCCAGGGTTTGCCATTTGGTGGGGTTCCCACAGTCCTCGTCATCAATGTCGTAATCTGGATGGTAAAGACTCAACCAAACTAACACTCAACATTACTACACAATAATACAGAGCTTCCCAAAGTGTGGGGCCCGCCCCCTAGGGGGGGCGCAAAGCCATTGCATCGGGGGCGCGGTATGAAAAGGGAAAAAAACAAAAAAAACACTTGGACACTGCTAGCACAGGGCGCCCAAACAAACGCAAAGCAGGAGATGAAGCATAGCTGAATATGTTTCCAAACCAACTGCTAACTACTCCTGACATTTTGGAGATGTTAGCTCTTTATACAGTAAAGTTACAGTGGGATACAAATAATATCAGGCTGATCCTGCCACGATTTGTTCCCCCAAACAGTACATAAACAGTTGTTTATGTTTTTGAACCCATTTTGCACAGAGAGGCATTTTTTGAAAAATGTATTGATAGCAATGTTGAATATTATTACACAGGAAAAAAACAACTACACGTAAAATAATCACATCGTGACACCTCTGCCTTTGTAAATGGAGGGACAGTAACTGCGTGTGTATGTAAGCGTGTAAAACCTGCAGATAGTCAGATTAACAGTAACAGTATTTTGTCTCTATCTGCCATTCTGCAGTTCATCTCATGTAAACAATAACGTGGCGCACAGCATGACGTGAAAAAGGCACATACCTTTGACGCTGCGTGACGAACTCTGTATTCCTCGTCCACACGTTAACGCAAAAAAGGAGTTTTAAAAAATCTTCGTTTTCTGTGATTCGAAACGCCAGTTACGTGTGGACGAAACAGCTGCGTTTTCAAAAATACCCGTGTAGGTGTGGACGTAGCGTAAAAGAGTTAGTAGTTTACTTTCTTACTACTGTAATTTATTACAGATTACTTGTATTTGTTTAATAGTTTACTAAATGTTTGAGGTGTGAAATAAACCGCAATGGAGCAAACTATGGGTATGTGTGGTTGGAGGATGTGTTTGTGCGTGCGCGCGCACCCAGGGGGGCAAACATTTTTCTTGTAAAACAAAGAGGGGCCCAGCAAAAAAAGTTTGGGAACCGCTGTAATAATACAACAAAGTCACAGTAGCATGCAAAAGTCTTGAGCCACCCTTCATGTCATTGCATTTTGTTTCCAAGGAGCCAGACTTTCTCGTAATTTTTATTACATTGGTCCTGAGTAATAGTTACCTGAGCTTTGTGAAGGTCTCTGGGCTTTTTTGGCTGATTTTTCACTCATTATTAGTCCCATTTTGTACCCAATCATTTTCCAACTCATGTTTTTTTTTGTTTGTTAAACCACTTAACTCTTAACCTATGAGTCATTCAAAGCATAGAGAAGGCACCTAACTCAATAGATGAGCCAGTGTTGAGTCTAGATATTACAGATAGCTTAGCAAGGAAGCAATTTTAAATGGTATCTTTAGGCAACAACAGAATTTGTTCCCATTTCTTTATCTGAATTTATGAAAAATGCCAAAGATAATACAGTTTGACAGGCATTAAATCTTATTTTTGCATCAACAAGGTTATTCCCAAAGAGTTATTAGCTGGAAAACCTGACATGAATCAGCGTGGTGTGCAGTGTGTCCTTATAAAATCTGATAAAACTGGGCAAGTGGAGGAAAAAAGAACAGGTAGCAGATGAATAGCGTTCACTGACACAGGACCTGAGAGATGCATCTGGCCCTTGAGTTGATCCATCTACTGTTTGCTAAATGGTCTCAGTGAAAGGGTGGCTGTCAAGAAGCCATTCTTATGGAAGGGAAACAGGGAGAAAAGGCTGAAATATGCTAAATTATACAAGAACTAGACTAAAAAATCAGTGATAACAGGCCTGGATTGATGAATCCCAATTTAGTTCAAATCACTGTGAATAGTTAACCTCCTAAGACCCGAACTCTTTCATGGCATGCATTTTAAATTTGTCTTTGCTATTTTCTTTTACCTGATTTTTGTTTCTGATTAAAGTTAGATCCACACATGAGGACATCCACTTTAAATTTCGATAGAACAGTTGCAGTATAATGTCCTCGTAAGTGGATATCAGGCCCTTGTAGAGCAAAATGTAGTATTTTTGTTCTAGACAACCCAAAATGTGATGTCCACATATGTGGACACCAGGTTCTAGGAGGTTAAGGCGGCATTCAGAAGAGAGTTACGACAGTGAATGTTTACAGCCACCTGTAAAATGTAGAGGAAGCTCGGTCATGGATTGAGGGTCTATTTTAGCTGGTGGTGATGGGGACGGATTTATGAACATAGAAAAGTATTGTCAGACAATACGGCAACACCTTCTTTTTTCAGCATGACACTGATCCCAAACACACTGCCAGGGGCCATACTTGGATACGAGAACACACAATGGAAAACTGTCAGTCATGGATTAGCCTCCCCAGAGCCTGGGCATCAACATTACTGAACAGTGTGAGATCATTTTGACAGAGAATGAAACAAAAATATACTTTATTTCCACATATGTTTGCGCAGGTTTCTATAAATACACCTATTTCCAATTTTCATGCAAAGTATAAAGACATTAGGAAATCCCAAGGTTTTTGCACAATACTGTAACTCTGTAGAGTCATGGCAAATTGAGAGATAAACTTATTTCAAGTCCTATGTTGATATTATCTAACGGTTCTATTTTCTCCTATATTGATTAATCTACTCACTATTCCCTTTTTGTCCAGCAGAAAGTAAACAGCGATTTGTCTCACAGCTAATATTGTTCAGAGACTTTTTCTCTGAGCGTGAAAAAACAGAATATCTTTATATTCGAGAAACTGAAACAGTGGAGCTTTGTATGAAAATAAAAATGAGATTCTTGAAAGTTATTCTTTCCCAAATTATAAATCCTTCAGCTTTGGTTAAAAGCACATAAACATCTTCCAGTTTATAATATTTGTGTCACCTTCCCCTTTTGTATATTTAGAGCCAAAATCCGTAACATCTGCACTAAACTACCTAATCCTACAACTCTGACAAGGTCAGTAACAAGTTGTGGGAATTACTATATCCTGTATAACACTTTGAATTTGGAGTCTTTTGCATAATTATTGTGATCTGTGCATGCACAATCTATAATCCAAATGGAAGTAAAAGCACTGAAAAAATAAAAACCTTCAATCGCTGCAGGACCAGGATAACACCACTACCTTTACTCAACCTACCATAGCTCTTCAAACCTATCCACCGTGTACGGAAGGCAGGAGGTTGACACAAACGCAGGACTCCAAAGATAAAAGGTTAACGCAAAAGGCAGCTTCAATGTTGAACTCCTACAAAGATACAAAAGAAATGCAGGACAGGAGTAAAAAAATCCAAAAACAGATAATCTTCAAGGAGAACATGATACTAGGAAAGACACGGCCACGAGGAAAACTTGACAAAGGGAAACAATAACTACACAGCCAATAATGAGGGCAGAAAAATCAGATGGGAATTTCAAAAGCAAATAAGTAATAACAAAACAAGGGAAGTAACACTCAACATATAACATGCATGAGAGGAGAAACTTTCACAATAAAACAGGAAATCTAACTAACACCGAGACAGTGTCTCAACACAAAATTGACACAGACAAAAAGGTAAACAAACACAGAGACACGACTGACTTCACAAAGGAGACACAATAGGACAAAACCCAGAGAAGAAACTAAGGGAACAGAAAAGGAAACAATGAACCAAAAGTCATCTATAACTAGCCTAGAGACACAAATAGGGAACCATAACAATAACAGATAACAGAATACAAATAATTAAAATCACAGGGAAACTACCAAAACTCAAAATCCTGGGTCACACATCAGGGACACAACTCCATTAGTTTTTTTTTTCTTTTTAAAAAGCTCTTAAACAGGATATAAACCACAGTCTCCCTGATGACAAACTTGTGATCCAAAGCTTGACTTCCACTTGTTCCGCATGATCATTCAACAAACAAGAAGCATCAGGAGGATATCAAACACTGATTCATGTGTCCTGGAAAAGCTAGAAACACACAGAAAGCTTCATGTTTTTTACTAATTGCATGACATCCCATTGATTATGCAAATTTTGAACCAAAACCCTTACAATTGAATGTAACGTCAAAGAGTTGTGACTTGTTTTGTTACTACCACTCCAACCTCCTTCTGTAGACTTTGTTACTCTTTAAAAATTGGTTTATTTCAGACAAGTGAGCTGTAATGCAAATTCAAAGGCTGGGGCAAACTGCGCTGTCCTATCAACTAAAGGCTAAATGCCAAAAATAGAACTTTAAAAAAAAAGGAAAACCTTTTCTGTGTGTCTAATATTGCTACAGTGTGTGCGTGAGGGGCCTGAACCAAAAGGTCATCCTGTGCGCGTATCTGCGGCACCAGCAACATATTACAAAACAGCAGTAATTGACGCCCAAGGACGGAGACTTTCTGTGAGGGGTTCCTGTGTTCTTAGATGCATGGATTTCTTCAATATCAAATATATATATATATATATACATGCAGAATCACCATTCAAGTTATTTATTAGGACAGTCAAAATGTGGTGTAGGCGTGAATGTCAGTGATAATGGCTTAAAGCGTTTTTAATTTGTAGTTCTCTTCAGGAAAAGGCTGGAAAAATAAACCCAAACTTTAAACTAAACCAGCGCCTTGCAAAAAAAACCAAAAGCTCAATGCTTTCTGTTTGTCTCCTCGTTGTCCGGGTTTTGCATAATTATGTACAAGAACAGAGAGAAATACAAACACATTGTGTACATGTCATAGACGTCAAGTTAAATCTGCACATTTTAACGTCCTTTTTTGCAAAGAATAATACAGCGTGCGCACTGTTTACAAACACAGATGCATTTCTTTTCCTCCCGTGTTCCAGATAATAATAGGCTTCCATTTTCAGCTGTCAGCTAACTCAGTTCCACTGTCAGGCCTTGTCAGGCTTGATCTCTGCGCTGATAGGACTTCTCCATCTGCCACCTCCATGTTTTAATTGGCTCATTTTTATCAATGCCTGGTTGTCAAGCCAACAGCGAGGGTTGAGCGCTGTCTCTTAATGACGAGCATGAGTCAAAGCGTGCTTCCCCCCAGGTGACGGGAGCACGCCTCTGCATCAATTCCATCATCATACAGAATAAATCATCAGTGGGACTTGAGGAGAGCGTGCCCACGCATAAAGACAGAATAAACCGAAACAACTGGGAAGAGCCGGGCCAAAACGAGATAATGGAGAGATTCTTATTGTGCCCTGACTGCTAATGTAAACACAGGCTGTTTATTCATCTACAAGCCCCAGTCAAGTCCTCTTGATTGTCATTGCATGGCTTTAGAGTGAATCATTCGACATTCGCGGGCGCTTTCTTCCTATTAGCACAGCTGTCACCCCTTATCCACTAAACCTAATGTCTTTTCAGCTCAAATGAGGTAATAATTTAATTGCTGCAATTAAAATCAAACAGTCATCACCACTTTTACTGCGTTTGTCAACCTTCATCCATCACGGTCCAGTTATGCTCAATATTTCATCAGGGAAGCTCAGCACAAATCCACTATTGTACAGGATTGAATAGGGTTTTATTTTGGACCTCATTGTTGTGCTCAGTTTGCTCTCCATTTGTGGAAAATGGGAGGTATTCAGATTGACCGCGCTCATTTTTTTCCCCCCACTGAACAGCATATGTCTGCGTGTGCTCGCTGATCTATTTCTGGAACACATATCATACAGACAAAAAATGCTTCATTAATGCTGTGGCATTTTGAATCTGTTGTTGTAGACTGCTTTTTTGAGTGATTTTAGACAGAAGCTTAGATTTCTAATCAAGGAGATATTTTACCTAGAGTATAATGAGGACAGAGACTGTGTAAAATTGTTTTTCTGTGTTTGTAGTTTTTACTGCTGATCTTCTCATGTCTGAGGAAAGCTGCTTGGGACTACGGCCGCCTGGCTCTGCTGATGGAGAATGACAGGTAAATCTCTCACTCAACAATATCAGTTCAACTCTGATAGCTATGGCCACTTTTAACATGTAGTAAGAAGCCTCAGTGGAGAGAGAGACTTGATGCTCTAGCTCCCTCTGCTGCATGTAAGTGGTAATGGAAAATTACCGTGGGCAAACTGCCTTGTTGTACTTGAAACACTGATAAAACTTTACTGTATTTGTTTTATATTAACAGTGCAAGTATAATTTCACGGGATGGTCAGAATTTATTCTTCGCTTAATTCTCTATTGAATGGAAACACTGAATTGGACATTTAAGCATGTTATCTATCTTATATCCACACCTATGGTCAATTTAGAACATAGGTGTCAAACTCTGGCCCGTGGGCCAAATT